GTCACGTGTCTGATTACTTTTCCTTTTCTTTTATCCTCTTCACCAAATGATCGGTTTGTTAGCCGCTTGGGCGATCGGTCACGTCTCCGTTAAACACTGTTGGCAAGTACTGGGCATGCACCGGCTCCTGGTAGTACCTGAACCTGCTCCAGTGCTGGTCAAGTCTTGTCTTGAAGGAGTTCACACTCGGTGACATCACAACCCCTTCTGGTAGATTGTTCCAAGAGTTCACAACTCTCACTCTGAAAAAGTTTGCCCTCACAGTTTTCTGGACTTGCAGCTTCTTCAATCTTGAGCTGTGACCCCTTGTGGAGCGAGCGTCGGCCAGCTCCAAGTAAGAACACTCGACTGAGTAGTGCCCCTTGAGATGCTTATTCACCTCAATTAGGTCGCCCCTTGCCCGTCTGTAGTATAAGCTAGGCAAGTTCAGGCGCTCCAATCTCTCAGGGTAGCCGAGATGCCGAAGTGTAGGCACCAGTCTGGTGGCCCTCCTTTGAACATTTTCAACTAACTGACAGTCCCTAGCATATTTCGGGGTGACAGTACTCCAGATGGGGAAGCACTTCACTCTTGAAGATCGTTACGAAGGACGGACCGTCTAGATATCTGAACGACCTTCTTATAAGACCCAATAATTTACTTGCCCGATTTACCTTTTTCTCGCAATGGCCCGAGAACTTCAGCTCATTGTCAACAAACACACCTAGGTCCTTCTCACATTCAGTCTCAAATAGCGCAGTTTTTTCATCCCGTTGGGACATATGGTACACCTCCTTACCGTTGGTACTCCCCAGGTGCATCCTCTTACACTTCGTGACATTGAATCTCAGTAGCCATTTCTTCGACTATACTGTCAGACTGGGGTCACTAATTCTATGGGGAAATACTTAACCCTAATCTTAATTTCTAAGGGTCGCTGCCACCAGACCCCTTCTGGACAGTATGTAACTCGTTAGGTAGCATGCAGAGTGGACTAGGCATTGGGTTAGGTTTTTCATTGACCAGATCGATAAGGGGAAAGAAGGGTGAAACCATAACATGTCTTAACTAATTTATTCCTTATAAACTATATGGTAACAAAAAAATACAATTGAGCTGGCCTTCCTCAGAAGAACAACGATGAGTTTGGTTACGCTGCTTACAATATCATTTAACACTTCGGACTGCTCCACCTGTATGGAATATAGCACCTTAGGTCATCATACATAGAAACACCATCTCACCTCCCTGTAGCACCAGCTCACCACACCTGTTATACTCCACACCTGCAAGTATGGGACTCCTTGTGATTTCTAGGTGCACACATCAGGCACCTCGTTTGCACACCGTCCTCAGTGGGTAGAGACGAGGGCTACCCCCAGAGACATACCAGTACTGTTTCTGCGCCTGGTATTATAGGTCGCTCCAAGTGACGACTGCGGAGTTTCTCAAGCATTTCCTTATTTATTCCTACTCATTTGGGGTGGTCTGCTGGGGATCCACAGGTTCACAGTGGAATAGTATAGCTGGTAGTCACCTCACATGGTGGGACGCTCACAGGGAGAATAGCCGACGCCCAGCAAGGTGCTCCGACCACATGTGACCTGAGGTGACGTTAGAACGTAGGACACTGAGAAATAATGCCTGATGGGCGGTTATCACACACCCTAACACATTACTATTTCACTTATACATCAGGCAAAGCTTTAAACTGTAATAACTGCGATATAAGCCGTTTTTACAGGGCGGGCTGTAGCCCGATAGAGGACACTGACCTGAGGTGATGTTAGAACATAGGACACTGAGGGCAGTGCCCCATCGCTCATCACCACGTAAGCCTACAGTTTCCAATCTTTAATTTTTACTTTTATTTCTCACGGTTCTCACCTGAACACTTTCCGGTATATTGTAACTCATGCCTTATAAACACCTATTTTAATCCTAAATTACACTCTAAGGTAAGGTTCTGGTTTGCTAGTTCGTGGGTAAATTCATTGGGTTATAATATCAACGCGGCACACTCGAGGCGGGTACAGGACGCTCCCTTAAACAAAAGCCTAATTTTCATGGCGTGGGTATATCCACTTCACTTAAAACTGTAATTAGGGGTCCTCCTCTCACACATTGCACTATTTGAACACAGACATAAGATTCTCTGATCACTGTACATGTCGTGGGTATATGTCAGGTGAAGATACGAGGTGTATTAAGTTCACACCGATGCATACAAGATATTTCTTTTCAAGTATAGTTTCTGGGTCACTTCCAACACCTCACATAGTTCTGATACATTTATCCTTTTTCCAGATCATTGTTCTCATGTACAGTATTTTCATATGATATCTGTGGAAGTTGTGTTCGCTACACGTTCACAGACGTAAATAGTATGACCTTCAAACCATGATCCACACTTAGTCCTACAGTACACTAGTCCGACTCAACTGGACTTTCCCAATCATCTTATGGATACCCTGAATTCTCCTTAATGCTATGAATACATACAATTAATATTATATAACCATACCTGGGTACAATACAACACATGATTCAGTAACATTGAGTAGGTGAGTAATCCTTTATCAATGTTTCCCGTTTTCTGAGATTCTACAAGCGCGGTGGATTTGAATGTTATGTAGCGTAATATGAATTAAAGTGGGTTTTAGGAATGACAATGATGTGCGCAGTACACGACCATTCTTGGAGCCCACAGAGGTCCTTCTGCAGCTCTTCACAGCTCGCTTGGTTCTTGATTTCCCGAAATAACTTGGCGTCATCAGCAAACATTTGTATGGAGGAGTGTATGTCGGGCAGGTCATATATGAAACAAACAAACAACAGCGGGCCCAATACACTGCCCTGTGGTACCCCACTTGTGACAGATACAGATACAGATGATTTTGTGCCATTAATCACCACACACTGCTTGCGGTCTGGTAGAAAGTCTTCGATCCACGCAAGGACATTTCCCTGAATTCCGTACCCTTCCAGTTTGATTTTCAGCCTTTCGTGGAGTACACTGTCGAAAGCCTTGGCAAAATCTAGGTAAATATTGTCGATATTACCACCCCATTCCAGAATATGGGTCCAAATAACCAATACCTTGAGCAATTGTGTTAAGCAGGAGCGCCCCTGCATAAAACCGTGTTGGCAATCCTTTACAAGGTTGTTTCGTAGTAGATGTTGTGTCGCGGCATCTCTGATAATACTCTCAAGTACTTCACATATTATGCTGGTCAGGCTCACTGGTCTGTAGTTGTTTGTGGAGTGACAATCACCCTTCTTGAAGATAGGACTCACATAAGCCACTTTACATTCACTGGTGACCTTTTGTTCATCCAGGCATTTACAAAACAGGATCTTCAGGGACTCAGCAAGCTCATTACACAACTCTCTTAGCACTCTAGGATGCACCATGTCAGGGCCACGACTCTTATGGACCTTTAGCTCTGACAGTTTATTTGTAATACCCTCTTCTGTGAACACAATGTGGGTCAGTGCTGTGTCGAACCGTCTGTCCTCAAACGCAGGAAGGTTAATCGCATCCTCTCTTGTGAACACAGAGGATAAAAGAAGTTGTTCAATGCCTCAGCTTTATCCTGGTCAGAATCTGCATAACTACCATCTTCAAGCCTCAGGTCTGATACTCCTCCTCGCATTTATAATTTCAACTTTACATAGTGGTAAAATGCCTTTGGGTTTGACTTGACCTCGCTTGCAACCAGCCTCTGGAACTCCTTTTCAGCCCTTCTACACTCCATCTTTGCTTGGTTTCTGGCTCTTGCATACATCCTCCTGTCCTGTTCATCGTTTGACCCAACCCGTCTTGAATTTCTTGGTTTTCTTCCTAACTTTGTCGACCGCCGCATGATTCATGTGTAGGGATCCCTTGTATTCCTAGAGGCACTGGGTTTGGTCTTGGGTATATATTTATTGATCAAATGGGTCACTTTACTAGTTATGATATTCAGCGTAGTGTTTGCGTTCTAGTACCTTAATGAGTCAGGCCAGTGGATACCCACTATATCTTCCCTCATCCCGTTGTAATTTCCTTTGTAATATTTACGCCTTGGCCTGGCCTTATCTTGAACTAGGTAACAGTTAAATCTGAATGACAACACAATATGGTGACTGGTGCCAACTGGGCCAAGGTGTTCCAGTGTGGCCACCATACGCTCCTCATTTGTTATGATGAGGTCTAATGGCCTGGGTGTTTGCTCCCCTCTGTAGTGTGTCAGGTCTCTAGCATGTTGGAACAGAAAATTATCTCTCAGAGTTTCTACAAAAAGAGTAGCAGGGTTATTCAAGTCATCTGGGGTGAACTCGTTTCTCCCGTTGATGTCGCCATAGTTAAAGTCCACCACGATAAGGAGGCGGCTAGGGTTGAGCATTGCCGCATTGTCTATTAAAGCTCTTACGTTCCTTTGATTTAGTGGGCCACAGTTTGGGGATCTGTAGATACACCCAACAATAAGGTAGTAGGTAGAGAGGCAGCTACTAAACAGGGAGGTACTACTGCCTGGGAAGATATTGGGAGCATAATGTGTTGTCTAATGGTAGACCCTGCTGCCATATGGCATCACAAAAATTGTGACTAAGTTCCAGGTTGCTCATCTGACTTTCTGCCTCATTTACACACAATTGCAGGGTCTCAATTGCTGACACCTCCCGGGTGGGGGGTAGAGCGGGTGGAGGGTGCGCTGCTGCCCCCTGGCCCTGTGTCGGCACACTTGCTTCCACTACCCTCTCCCTGAGTATAACCCATGTACAAACATCCCCGTTCCTCCTCGACTCTTCCCTTCTCTGCTTCAAGTCCTGCAGGAGGTTCTTGTGCTGTTCCCTCTGCAGTATCGTGCGATCTGGGTGAATGAATACACTCCCAGATGCCTCGCTCCTTGCTAAGTTTTTTGCCTGCCGAATAACCTCCCATTTCTCCTTTTCACTCACTAGTGTGATCCTGAAGGGGCGAGGCTTATCCCTCTGCTTTTGTCCGAGCCTCCTCACATCCTGAGGGGTTGATGGCATGTTCAGAACCAGTGGTGGGCACAGCTAAATGAAAAGTTAGCTTCGCTAACCGCTAATCTGGTAAGTAAAAAGTTAACTTTGCTAACACTAAACCGCACACACACACACACACACAGTGCCATGTTTCACAACCATTTCTGGAGCATAAATGCAATAAAAGTTGTAGAAAAATCATTAAATATTCTAATGTGACTTAGAAATAAATATATAATATAAAACTAGAGCGCAATATCTTCTACAGAACGCATAATAGGTCCAGTGTAGTTCCTTCAATCAAGTTACAGCAATCTCAAAGGATTTTAGAAGCTTGATTGTCAATACTGGGAACAATAATTTTTTTTTCCTGAAGTCTTCTCTTATTTTGACTTTTAATAATATAAAAAAAGACAAAATTCTTTGAACTTAACTTTTATTTCACAACATAAACTTAATATGCTAAGACAAAATTCTGTACACTAAAATAAATTGTAAATGAGATGGACTTACAAACTTATACTGTATAGTATATTGAAATAAAACACAATCAACTATTTAATGAAGGAGTAGATAAAGGGGTACACAGGAAGTAAAGGTATTCTTGAGTGGCAGTAAGGCATGAAAGAGTGGAGTCTCTACTGTAGCTCTCTCCAGTACCGGAATCCATTCATGTCCCTTTATGAAAAAAACATAAAAATTATTGTTGGGAAAATCATATTAATTTTTATTTATTCAACAACACATGCAGTTTGTTCATATAGATACAGTTCTGGTAGCTGCAAAGATGGCTACCATGCAGTAAAAGATAAAAATTAAAGCTTGTGAATAAGGCCAGCATTCTCCACAAAGGATAGGACGTCCCCTCCCACATTACCCACTCCTCCCCCTAGCACCAAAGATAGATGGTAAGACCCATCTCTCCCCAGGCATTGGTTGAGGTGTTTACAAAGAAGACCTCCGAGATTGGGGCATTCCACCAAAAGGTGTGGAACAGTCAATAAGTATCAGGCAGTCATAACAATGGGGAGGGGGCACCATCTCCTTTAAAAAACCATGAGTCAGACATGTGTGGCCAATGCAGAGGTGGGCCAAAGCAGTCTCTTGGCGGTGTGACAGTCCCTGACATCTCCAGGCACCCAATGCAGGGTGGATGTCATGGAGGTTGTTTGCTTCAACAGCATCCCACCTGCATTTCCAACTCGAGTGTATGGCAGCTCTTATTACTGGTTTCAAATCAGAGGCAGGTAGAGAGGAACAACATGCCACTGGGTGAGAAACAGCTGCTTTCACCACAGCATCAGCATGTTCATTCCCTTCTCACCCACATTAGGGTGTGACAGTTGCCCCAACTTTGTCCTACAATGCTGTTCAAAATTTTGGTGTTGCATATTGACATAAAAAATACCCACGTGCAATTTTTTGAAGATTCATGCATATTTGAGTGAGCTCCAGCAATTTGAAAAATAGCGATTTTGTTTATACGGCATACGCGCCTATATATGAGATTACACAACCATCATAAGGGATATTAACACAAATCATTTGCCTGTCTTAATTAAAAGCTGTTATCACTAACACAAAAAAGTTAATCATTCTTATTCTCTCATGGTACATTAAGGGGTTTTATCATATATTCACAAGGTATTATTTCTCTAGAGCAAGAAACCATGATTTCTGTTCGGAAACAGATGATTGTTTGCGCTGATTAGGAACGCGGAGTCTGTCATTTTCAACTACTTGAAGGACTTCTTGAAAGCGCTCCTCATCCCTGGCAACATTAAGAAAGTCATGGTAAAGTTTTACACCACGTTCTGCAGCCTCATTGACGACCTGAAGCATGTCCACAACCCATTTCATGTTCAGATAGTCGTCATGATCCGCCCATTCACTGACTGGACTGTGGAGAAACTGATAGGGCATGCCTAAAATGGTGAAGTACCGGCTTGAGTCAGGCCCAATTAGGTCCACCAGGCCAGTGCCACTTTCTGGGACAGGGGGAAGATATGGCTTTCCATAGCCCCCATGATTGAGCCCCACTCTCTTACTAACTTCAGTGCCTTCATGGCAAAGAAGGGCCTTCCTCATCTCCTCTTTTGTCCTTTCTTGTACTTGGGACGAGAACAAAGCCAGTGGGGCCAACTCCTCAGTTAGGTACCAAGTGTGTCTACCGAGTGCCACACGTGCTTTGTCAACTATTGTGGAGTCATATGGGGCAAATTCAGCCAAGGTTTCGACCAAATTCAAGTCATTCAGTGGCGCACTAGCTGGAACGGGGCAAACAATCCACCATGGGACATAAACAGCGACTGTGAACACAGCAAACCGTTCTAACTTGCTGATTTGACTTTTAGTCACAACCTCGGCTTTGGGAAACTGCTCTTTGATCTGGCCTGACAAAAGAACAATCTTGAGGGTATAGAGCAGTTTAGCCATCCACCTTGCTTTGTGAAGTACGCCGGGGTAGACCATCGTGAAGTTCACTGGCTCGGACCCTTTAGTTACAAGCAGCAGACAAAGCTCTACCAGCTCCTTGTAGTCGCCACGTGTAAATGGTTGGGCTAGAAATTCACGGAAGAAGTCAGCCATCTCCTGCTGGCGCTCCTCAAACACTCCAGGCATTATGGGGTAGTAGTATTTCTTTTTTTCATTGTACTCCAGTTGAGAGTAATGGGTCTTGAACCTAGAAATTTATTAATTATTGGGATTATTGTATTTCGTACTAATCCATAATATTGTTTTAGGGGTATTAAGATTGATATGATCGATCATTTGCTTGGTGTTAGTATATCTTATAAGTCTAATAAAAGAAATTCCACTAAATTTGTCCTTGTTATTTTGTAAAGCCAACGGTGGTAGCTCAAACATGCACCAATCTCCAAGAAAATTTACAGGGGTGTTTCCTAGATAAGTACACAACTTTGAACAGCAATGTAGGACCATTTTTTTTATTTTTGGAGGGCAACGGTCACACCCTAACCCACATGGGCTGGAACTCGGCAAAAACTGACTTTCCGGCCACAACATTGGATGAGAAACAGCCACTGTAAAATATCTATAACTCAGGGATGTGGTGATGAGACACTATGGGAATCATTAAAAATTGTAAAGTCGTTATGAAGTTGGGTAAAAATAATCTTGAGTGCAAATAAAATACCCAAAACCTCTATAGTAAAAATAGATGCCATTGTGGGGAACTACCATCCCAACAGAAATCGGGAAAGACAACCCCAAAACCCACCTCTGCATCTGACTTAGAGCCATCAGTGTATACAGGAATAGTCTCCTTGTGAGAGAAGGCACTCTCTAAAAAAAAGAGAATGGACCATGCAGGGATGGAGTAAGTCCTTCCTTTTGTTAAAATACTGACAAACTTGAACTTAAAGGAAAATCCATAGAGTAGCACGAAGGAAATGCATGGGGCATATCTGAACAGGAGGAAGACAAAGAATTCTCACATCTTCCCTTTCCCTGTAGCCAAAAGGTCATGGGTGGCTCAGATGCTTAGTGTAGTGTGGGGACATACTCTCGTCAACTACACAAGTGTTGGTTACCGACGGTGGAAGATAGTGGAGGCAACACTAACACTGGACCTGGAGATATTGTCGTCGAAGATCAAGGGGTGGCTCATCAGCATCGACTATCAGACTGGGATTGGCACCGGTCGCCAGGCGCACCCCAGTATGATGAATAGAGTTCAGTGTATTGAGTCTAGTCTCAATGGCTAAGGAGTACACTTCACACCCACAATCCAGTTTGGGTCTAACTAGCATGTGGTAAAGGTGTAGCAGAGTTCCTCAGTCAGCACCCCATGATGTGTGCCCCAAGACTCTCAATAACTTGAGAGCACGCTGACAATACTCTTTGAGTTAACGAATATGTGGCTGCCATGTAAGCCAGTTGTCAAAGATAGTGCCCAGGAAACGGGTCTCTGTGACACACCGCACATGACAACCATAGAGCTGTAGATTGGGATCTGGGTGATCACCTCATAGGCAGCAGAAATGCATAGGAAAAGTCTTCAAGGGTGAAAATCTGAAATCATGCTCTGTGGTCCAACGTGAAACCTTGTCTAGTGTGAGTTGCATGCGACATTCAGCCACTGACATGCAAGAAGCTGCATATCACCACCTGGAACCGATGCTGTTACCCTATCTAGTGTGACAATAAATAGGATCACACTCAAGACACTGCTCTTTGGAATACCATCCTCATAAATATGTGGTGCTGACATTTCTGTGGCAACATGGACCCTAAAAGTGTGATGTCCCAAAAAATGACCTATTACAACTGATGGTAAATTTCCCTGCAATCAAAAATTGCGAAGCTCCTTAATCATGCCAAATCTCCAAGCTGTGTCGTATATTTTCTCTAGGAAAAAAAAATGCAGACTAGATGCTAGTGACAAGCAAAAGCCTCACAGACAGAGGACTCGAGACGATCAAGAGCATCTGTTGTTGAATGCACCTTCTGGAAGCCAGATTAATATGGTGAAAGAAGGGCACTATTCTTCAGGTGGTATACTAATCTCGAGTTGACCATCTTTTCAAACAGCTTGCAGATACAGCACATGGGGTCAGAGCTATGGGGTGATATTCTAGTGGGTGAAGACCTTCTTTTCCAGCCTTCTTGAAAGGCAGGACAGTAGCCTCCAACCATGAGGATGGGAAGGCTTCCTCTTGATAGATCCTGTTATACAGTTCAAATAGAAAGGTCTGTGCTTCAACTTCAAGGTGGCGGAGCATTGAAAATGGGATATCATCAGGCTCTGGTGATGTATCTCCAGTGAGTGAAAGGGCAGTTCTCATTTCTTTCATTGAGAGCATGATGTTGTATGTACTGCCACGTCCCACTCCAAAATCCAGGGTCCGTGACTCCTCTACTCTACTCACCTGCTTAAACTCTGAGGATCGAGTTGCCATAGAAGACACACCTGCAAATTATGTGGCAAAAAGCTCAGCAACTCCTTGAGGGGCAATAACTGAGCTGCCATCATTAGCTCTGAGAACTGGGGGAGATTAAATGAAAACTTGCCTGCTATATTTTCGAACATGTTTCTGTACCTGGGACAAGGGAGTCTTTTCGTTTAGAGAGGAGACATGAGAAGAAAAACTGACAACGGGTCTTCTTTAAGCTCGACGAGCTTGGGCTCAGGCCCATTTGTATTCCGCATGCTAAAATTCTGTCCTATGATACAGGTAGCGAGCATAAGCTTTACACCACACAATAGCTGCCTGCCTTCACTCCTCCGACCATCAAGGAACAGGTCAGCAACCTACATGACCAAAGGTCTGAGGAAAGGAGAAGTGACCAACCCATTGGAGGAGGCTGGCTAAGTATTCAACCGCTTCATCTACAGACGGAAATTCTCCAATGCTCCTGTCTATCTTCACTATTTCCTTGAACAAGTCCCATTCTGCCTTGTCTAACCACCAACAGGGAACTTGTGGTTTCGGGAGGACTTCCAGAGAGGAAAGTAGAATATGGTAATGGTAGCTTTCTCTGAGGTCATCTATTACTCTCCACTCAAAGTCCAGTCGAGAGAAGACTGAGCTCAATGAGAGATCTATGGCTGTAGTAGTGTTGGTCTGGACATGATAGTGGATGATATAACCAGTATTTAATATACACAGGTCTATTTCTTCAATTATCGAAGCTATCAGGTCACCCCTTGGATT